ATCCCAGGGGATTTCTCCCTCGTCCTCCCAGGACGCATCCAGCAATCGCTCCTTGCCGCTCCCTTCCCGCACCCGCCAGACTCTCAAGCACTCAGCGAGCCTGCCTTGTCCTTTTTGGTTTGGTTGGGTTGGGTTTTGTGGGGTTTTTTTGGTTGGTTGTTGGTTTGGGTTTTTTCTCTGAACACCATTTTTTTTTCCACCCTGGGAAGACTGGGGAGGTTGAACTCCCTGTCTGAACCGAAGCCCTGGACGAGTGCAGCTGAGGTTATAGGAATCTGGGAGGGGAAATGACGAGAATGTTTTATTGTGAATCAAACAAGCGGGAGCAGGGAGAGGCGGGACTCGGCGGAGGTGCAGGATGGGCAGTTTGCAGAACCGAGGGTTCAGCCTGTTGCCCAGCACGGGGCGGGGGGAGAGTCATTATTTCTTTCTGTCTCTTTGGGCAGCAATGGCCCCTCCTCCCCAATTAGCTGAAAGTGTCCCACTTGTCGGCTTTTATTTCAGGGAAAGGTTTCGCTCCCAGGCGTCTTTTGGGGGGAGCTCGGTCACTCACCCGCCTGCAGCCCCTGGCCCTATTCCCTGGTCAGGAATTACGTGCCAGACCTGGAACAGGGACTCACCTTCATAGCCAAGCTCACAGGTCAACTTCCTCCTAGGGAAGCTGATTTATGTCGGTTGATACATATGGAAAAAGTAGGCTGAAGCCAAGCGCTGCATCCTGCCAAAATCTCATTGTCTTTGAGGCAGGAAGAGTGGAGAGAGGGGAGGCAAAAACCCTAAAACGATAAGCTTTGCCTTGTCCCGGCAGGGAGGACTTGACCATAAAGGCAACCACCGGGTTTTTACCCACCTCCCCGCCACCGAAACCTTTCCCAAGCCCGAAGAAACGACCGGTCCCTCCGCGCACCCCGGCTGGGAAAACCAGCAGCTGCCTTGGCGGGGAGCCCTGCCGGAACCCCGGCACCAGCAGGTAGAACCCCAACAGAACCCTGGCTTTTCCCCTGGCTAGACAGGGGAGCTGCAGCGCCCGGTGCCGCCCCGTGCCGCGGAGCGATGCTTTGGCGCAGGTGTCGGGACGGGGATGGCAGGAAT